TGTCACTATGGTGACACTGTACTGCTAGGGTGACAGTATGTTAACCACTTGCCGACCGCGCATAGCCGAATGACGGCTTCACCGCGGCCGGCCAGTTCTGAGTGGACGTCATATGACGTCCTCCCAGAACGCGCTCTCCTGCGCGCCCCAGGGGGCGCGCACCCGGCGATCTCCGTGATCGCTGTGTCCTACGGACACAGCTGATCACGAGATGTGGTGAAAGGCCGATCCCACCGGCCTTTTACCACGTGATCAGCGGTGTCCAATGACACGCTGATCACAGGAAAATGCAAGTGCCGGTTCTCGGCTGCACTTTCCTCACGCTGTCAGATCGTGAGGAAAGTACTGCCGAGAACCGGCAGTTGTCAGAGCGGGGATCGGCACCGATCATCAGGGCACTGATGATCAGTGCCCTGATGATCGGTGCCCAGCAGTGACCCCCGCAAGTTCCGATCAGCTGTGCGCCCACTAGCCCCGCCCACCCATTCCCAGCGGTGCCCCCACCTGTGCCCAGCAGTGCCCCCACCTGTGCCCAGCAGTGCCCCCACCTGTGCCACTCTGCAGTGCCACCTACCTGTGCCCAGCAGTGCCACCTACATGTGCCCAGCAGTGCCACCCACCTGTGCCCACCCACCTGTGCCCACCAGCGCCACCCACCTGTGCCCACCAGCCACCCACCTGTGCCCACCCACCAGTGCTGTCCACCAGTGCCACCCACCAGTGCTGCCAGTCAGTGCCACCAGTCAGTGCCCAGGGGTTGTGCCAGTCAGTGCCGCCAGTCAGTGCCCAGAAGTGATGCCAGTCAGTGCCGTCTATCAGTACCCATCATCAGTGTCACCTATCAGTGCCGCCTATCAGTGCTGCATATCAGTGCCGCCTATCCGTGACCCCTAATTAGTGCTGTCTATCAGTGCCGCCTATCCGTGCCACCTCATTAGTACTGCCTATCAGTGCCCTTTAGTGCTGCCTATCAGTGCCCATCAGTGCCGCCTATCAGTGCCCATCAGTGCCGCCTCATCAACGCAAATCAGTGAAGGAGAAAAAATACCTGTTTGAAAAATTTTATAAAAGAAACAAATAAACTTTTTTTTTTTTTTCAAATTTTTTGCACTTTTTTTAATTTATAGCGCAAAAAGTAAAGCGCCCAGTGGCGATTAAATACCACCAAAAAAAGCTCTATTTGTGAGAAAAAAATGATCAAAATTTCATATGGGTACAATGTTGCATGACCGCGCAATTGTCAATCAAAGTGCGGCAGCGCTGAAAGCTGAAAATTGGCCTGGTAAGGAAGGGGGTATAAGTGCCTGGTAGGCAAGTGGTTAAAAAAACAAAAAAAAAAAAAATAAATAATATAAAAAATAAAATAAAAATGTAAAAAAAAATATGTTTTTGAAAACTTATAAATTTTTGGTTATAAAATAATTTGGGCTATTTTTACTGAATAAATTTTGGCCAAGATTTATGAAGAAAGATTATTTATTTGCTACATTTTATAAGAAAAACACTTTTTTTTTTCAAAATGTTTGGACTTTTTCATTTATATAGCAAAACACATCAAAATCCAAGTGGTGAATAAATACCACCAAAATAAAGTTTTCTGTCTCAAAAAAATTTGCTAAAAAATTCATATGGGTAAAGTGTTGCATGACCGCGCAACTGTCATTAAAAGTGTGATAGCACTTGAAGCTGAAAATTGGCCTGGACTGGAAGGGGGTAAAAGTGTCCAGACTTGAAGTGGCTAAACAGTCTATAAGGCTTGCTTACTTGGGGTTTGATCACATAGATGGCCAGAGGGCGGTAAACACAGGTGGTCGAGCAACAGTTCTACTGCATCCTCCAGACCATACACATAAAAAAGGGCATGCAGCTGCCCAAGACTGAACATATGCTGCAGCTATGATGCTTAGTGACAAAAATTAAACCATATGTCATATTAAGCGGGCAGTACCACAGCCAAACGTGATTGATTTAAGAATATGGGCCATGCCGCATCCACCCTTCAACCACAAGTAATGAAGTCAGTTGTGGTTCAGTAGTTCAGCCTTTTTAGTATAACTAAAGGCAAACATTTTTTTTTCTAGTTTGGGATAAATTAGAACACCTGTCAGTTTTTATTGCTGTCTGTGCCCCTGTTACCATTATCAGTGAAAGTGAAAAGTAAAGAAACACCAAAATTTTGGGTTGTCCCCAGAAAAGTAATAGAGGGGAAATCTTCCAACGGGGACACTAGTTCTGGTGACCTGGGGGTCCCCATAGGATTTCCTTAATTTGCAGGGATTTCATATTACTTCCTGTTTGGCTATGGGACCGGAAGTGAAGGAAAATATCCCCAATGGGACACAGATGGCAACGAAAAAAAAAAATTTCACAGGTATTATAGGCAAAACGTTTTTTCCATTTGGATCAGGCAAGGGAGGATTATAGTTCTACTTTAAAAAAGCAGCAAGGAGTGGACATATTGCCACCTCGCTGCTTGTCAAATGCCCTCTGAAAATCAATCCAACACAAATCGATTTTCAGAATGGCAACAAGGGCTGCCACACTTGGGAACAAGTTCTAAAAGTGTAGAGAATGTTTGCGAATGATTATCAATATTTAATTTCAAAAGTGTATATACACTGGGCTTGGTAAGTTGTGTTCACATTGAATACCTAATCACACCAAAGGAAAATGAGAGAAAAATTTTTTTTCTTTGGACATCATTGGATGGGGGAAATGAACACAGTTTCACCTTCTTACTAAAATAAAGACAAAATTCATTTTGCTAAGTAAACAGTCCCAGCACTTTTATTACACCGACCCCACATATGATTTCACTGACCCCACTATAGGTGTCAGCATTTTTATTACAATTCACTTCTATATAAAAGCTGAAGTTTAGTATGGGGCCCCATGACATACCCCTGTATTTAAATTTTTCCACCTTGGACTGGTGTAGTATGTGCCATACCTGTGGGATGTCAAGGAAAGATGGAAATACCTATAGATCATCATTTTGCCCAGTGGGCCCCATATTGGAACACCTTTTCAGTACCCGTGCACTACCCCATAGCATAAGGTAGAAAGCTGTCGTGAAATGGCGGAAATGTGAGTGGGCATTATTGTTATGTGAATAATATAGATCAATTGAACGAGATTACACTATGGAGGATATTTTTGTCTTATTATGATCCTTTATGGGAGAGCGGTTTTGTTAATATCTGTTGGAGGAGGCCTTGAAAGGAGAGGAGTATATGGCACCATTGGAGGGATCCTATGAGAAATTAATACCTGTAAGGACCGTGTGCCAAAAGTGAGCTGGCCCTGTGGAATGCAAGGAAAGAGGGGGCATACTACTTATAGTTGACATCACTATTGCTTTCGGTTCCTATACACAATCACTTGTACGGAGGTCGCAGTTGGAGCATGGTTTATGCTAATTCAGAGAATATTTTGCTATTTCTATTTGGGGGTTTATCATTATATATGTATAAATTCTCTGATTGGCCAAGAGTGGTAGGACACTTCGCACTGTTTTCATTATATATCCCCATATTTCAATCGTTGTATGTACTTTGCATTTATATAAGAAAATGGATTGGATCCCTCAATTGTGGATTAAGGGGGATTGAGTTTTCATTCACCAAATGATAGGATTTATTATTTTTTCACAATTATCATCATACTTCATCCTTTGACCTTGATAGGATCATATCACGTTATACTATCACTTAATTGATTTAATTATTTGAGTGCATATATTTTATTATGCGCTACACTGTGTATATACAATTTAGTCCAATTGCACTTATTGGGTCTAAGTTTTAGTGTGAGCAGCTTAGGGTAAGGGTTCCATTTAAAGCGCAGGATGGATCTATACTATACACTATCTAAGTGGACCACTAGCTTTCCAATTGCCATATCTGGAATTCAGCTTTAAGGCTGTACAGGTTGAGACCTTCTTATTTGGAATCCCTAAAGCCAGTCATAGATGGATCGAATCTCGGCCAGTTAAGCAGGGACTGGCCGAGATATGATCCATCTATGGGCAGGCTTGACTGTACCCAAGTCGATCCGTCAATTGACTTGGGTACAACCAGGATGTTGGGTATTTAGCATGTGATTGTTGCCGGTGGCTATGGCCACTAGCAGTAATCATCGGGAGATGACAGTGCTGCTCAAGGTAGGTAGGCTCACTTGTTACAAACCCACATGTGCTGAAATCTAAGGAAAATCTGGAAGGCAGCACTGAAACACTCGTTCACTTTATTGTATAAGAAAAGGCATAAGACACCATACAGTACAATGTAAACAGTGGGGGAGAAAAGTTAAAGTGGAGTTCCACCTAAAAAAAATAAAAAAAAAATAAAAGTCAGCAGCTACAAAAATTGTAGCTGCTGACTTTTAAAATACAGCCACTTACCTGTCCCTCGGTCCAGCAGTGTCCTCAGCACAGCTGGTTTCACCGGCCGTCTTCCCTCCCTGGCGTCGGCATCTTTGGTGTGGGCACCCGCTGTAACAGCTTGCGGCTTCACAGCCAACTGCCCACTGCACATGCGTGAGAGAAGTGATGAGCTTTGTGAATGGCCCCATAGTCTTCTGGGACCTGTCATGTGTCCCAGAAGACTACGGGGAGGGAGGACAATTTCCACTTCCGATCGCCTAGGTAATAGCAAGTGGGAGCGGGTAACTGTCAAATTTGGGTAGCCGCTCCCCAAAGGTGCCAATCCTTAACGGGAGCAGGTGACAAAGGCTTAAAGCGGAACTTCCCCTTTTGGGTGGAGCTCCGCTTTAATCACTGTTCTCCCAGCAGGGACGGCTCCCCCTGCTGGGAGAACACAATAGCCCCATGGGAGGGATTCCCCCATCAACACTAACTGTGGGGAATCGCGTCATCTACGGCCTAAGACAAACAAGTCACTTGGTAAGCACTGGATGTCATACAAGGGTGGGAAGGAGAGAGAGGACATCATGCCTGACAATCTGCAGATGATAGCAGGAGGAATGGAGGTGTACTCTTACAGGTTTCGAATGGAATCCAGTGTGTCTTTGTCTTTCGCAATCATGTCTGCCAGAATGTGCTGCACTCCCACCTCAATTTCTCGAAGTATTGAAAGTCCTTCAACATAAAAAATATTAAAAAGTTGAATTGCTATGCATTCTGTATGTATAAAGCAATAACATATTACAGAGCACTCTACTGTAAAGATGAACACTAACCTCACCTTCAGTCTTCAGTTGTACGGGCTCCTTTTCCTGTACTGAAATGATTTATTGTGATTTCATGGTACACTGAGTGTCTCACAGTGTGCATCAGAAACTTCAGTAAATCATACCGAGTTTGCCTCGTTTTATGGATAAAGAATGCCCTAGCTTCATCCATCCCTTTTCTCCCCAGATGAATTCTCTCCCGCCTATAATGTTGTAATGCGCAGGCGCAGAAATGAGAATGAGACATGTGGAGCTGGATCTAAGAGCTATAGAAGAACTCAGACCACTGTGATGGGCAGTATAAATATAACTCAAGTTTGTTAAAGTGTTACTAAACCCTATACCTTTTCTCATCAGCAGCATATAGCAGTCTTGTGACTTCTATCAGTGGCCAGCTGAGCACTGGTTAAAGCTTGTAGGGGGAGTTTTCAGTTTGCTGATTGGACCTGTGCTGATCACATGCACCGTCCCAAGAAAAAAAAAAAAAAAAACACTCTCTAGCAATACACACCAAACTGAGCATGTGCAGAGTAACTCCCACACATATGTCTTATCAGGACATAACAGGGAGACACTGGAAGAAGGGGAGGACCAGGGAATTCAGGATCAAACAGCGTTTTTACACAATGCAGAGGATTAACCCCTTAGGTTCCACAGTGAGCATAACAAGCATGCTTTACTGCTTATACAGACTGATTTTACCGTTGTGGGTTTAGTAACACTAACTGTATATACTGTATGTGGTCCTTGCCTCTTTGCTGTTAAAGTGTCATGTACATAAATTTAGTAATTTTGGATTAAACAAACCAGAGGCTGCGGCTATCAGATCTCGGTAGGGACCCATCTGTGGAAGGGGGTAAATGGGTTAAAGCTAGGTCACGGCGGATAGGAGAAGTGCACCTAGTAGAGTGCATTTGTCCTTTAACCCTTTCGCAGCCAGGTCCATTCGTCTTATGGACCTCACAGCAGGGGGGCTTTACACACATTCCCGATGGCTGCAGCCACCAGGATTGTGTGTGAAACTGACAAGCATTCTCCTGCCTGTCAGGTGGAAGCATTTGGGTGTATGCACTTCTGCTTGATTGCTTCCAGAAGCCCCTATAGCAGGTTTAGCCATGGTGTCTAGTCGAGATCTGCCTAACAAAGCGCCCCCTGCTGTCAGAGCTTTAAGAAAGCAATGCAAGCTACAGTCTCCTAGATTATGAGCTCGAAAGAGCAGGGCCCTCGAACCCCTCGTGTATTGTATTGTTACTGTATTGTCTCATGTTCTGTCCCCCACTATAATGTACAGCGCTGAGCAAACCTTTTAGTGCTATATAAACACTGTATAATAATAATAATAATGTGACATACAGGCATTAAATAGGACACAAATGAAACATTAAAGCGGAACTTCACAGAAAAATAACATAAAAGAAAATTGGGATGCCCCACAAGGATATGGTCCCAAGAAAGGGAAATATCAAATATTATAAGTAGTTAGCCGACTCACCAAGTCCCACGGTGGTGTCCTCAGGACCAAAAGGCATTTTGGTAAAGCGGAACTTCACCCAAAAAGGGGAAGTTCTGCTCTTCCTCCTCCACCCCCTCTCATCTGCCACATTTGGATTGTCTTTTAATTTTGTGGGGAGCGGATATGTGGTTTTGACAGTTACCTGCTCCCACTTCCACTAGGATTGCCTACCAATCCACCAAGCAAAAGTCGCCTTCGCCCCCACACCCCCCCTGCCTGCCCGCCCACAGCCTCTTGGGATGCGTCACAGGTCCCATAAAGCTGCAGGACCATTCACAAAGTGCGACTCACACATGTGCAGTGGGCATCTGGCGATGAAGCCACAGCAGTCACAGCCAGCAGCTGCCTACACTTAAGATGCTGTCACCTGGAACCGAAGACCAGTGAGAAAACAGACCCGGGTGAGGACAGAGCTGGATCCTGGGAAAGGTGAATGTCTGTTTATAAAAAGTCAGCAGCTACAGTTTTTGTAGCTGCTGACCTTTAATTCTCACACATCTGACTGAAGAACCGCTTTAAAACACAGAACTATGAAATAAGTTGCGGCATTACGTTTTGTGTCTGCTTTCCACATCTACTGCTAGTATAGAGGATTCAAAGTGACGATCGGTTCTCTTTAATCATGACTAAACAGCTGGAACATTAACCTGAATGACAGCTATTTTGCAGACACTGGATAGTCATACTGAACGGTGCTGCACATAGACCAAGTCTATAGTCTACTAACAAGCAATTTCAAAGAACAATTTTCTGCAATATTCGACCCAAATATAGAAGACGGCTGTCAGTTAGTTGTGAAACACTGCCCTCTACTGACTGACGCTTCAAGGACAGGCTCCATGGAAATATCAAAGCATTTCAAGCCCCATTTCAAACCAATGTCAGAGTCTGTATTTATTCTTACCTAAAATACTACAATTTCTAAAATATTATATTGTATTAAAAAAGATATTATCACAAACACATACACTCTGCCTTCAAAAATGAACCATTGGCTGCCTTGCAACAAGCTACTGTATGTTATCTAACTGTATGTTTTGAGAGTTGTTTGTTTTTCATGTTTTTCTTTTTTTTTTTGTTTTATAAAACAGTTTATTGTTGCTTGGTGGAAAAAATGGACTTCCTAGAAATTGTATTCCTAGAGGTTAGTGGAACGCACACTTTTTTTCAATATCTTTCTGGTCTTTGGGCCTGACAGAAGTCAAAATTGACTTCTGTACGGGGTCATTTAGTAAAATGTAAAAAGCGAAAACTGTCCATCAATTCAGCCTTACTAGGTATGCATTGAAACCCGTAGGCTACTTTCACACTGGCTATTAGGGCCAGTGCAAATTGTAGTGGCAGTACCCACTGCATCTATTAGTCGGTAGGTATGCCCATTGGCCCCATTCACTATAATGGCAGGTTGCTAGAGGCCGCACCTGTTCACAGCAATCTGCACACAAAGTGCGTCCAGCAGCCATCACCGCAGGTAATCACTGGCTGTGCAGAGAACCACAAATAGCTGCGGCACCTGCCAGTATCCTACCACCTACCAGCTGAGAGCCGCAGCAGGAATCTCCGATAGCTGCTGTTACTATTCTCACCAACAGAGCTGCTGCTAGAAACCATGGGGTCCCATAAGTCAACCAGACAGGCCCCCATCCCCCATAAAGCACAGTTTACTATACTTCACAGGGTGGATAAAAATCAATGATTTTTTTTTTTTAAATCAGACTTTTTTGAATAAAATGCTTTTTGAGGAAAATATATTTACCATCCAAAGGTTATTCCATCATGAAATAAAGTTTCTTTTTTTAATTATGTAGAATAAGGCTGTATATGTTTAATTTTTTTGGTAAATAAATTCCATGAATCCATTCACAATGTCATGCTCTTCCAGAGGTTTTTGTAAGATTATTGGGCGGTTTCTCTGCCTACAAGATATTATCACAGATGCTCGGTTTACTTTTGCAGTTCTCAAAACTGAATTTGACTCAGCGGAGATCACATGCCTCTTCTTCACAGCAAAAATGTTATAACATGAACAGAGTTAAGAAAAAGACCTTCATCCTAACTTCTACAAACCTATGAATACAGAATCAACCCCTTCAGTGCTAAGTTTCAAGAAGTTCAGTGAATAGAATAGAAACAATATTTTTCTGATTGTTTGGAGTGGAAATAGATCTGCACAAGAAGAAAGTGAAACTAAGTGTGAGGAGGAAGGGGCTGACAGTCTAAGTTTCTTAAAATATATATATTTTGTTTAGCCAAATTAGTTAACAAACATGGATGTTTAAGCCAATCACATATGCTGGAATGTTATTGTTTCAGATGAATAAATCTATTTAAATTGTTATTATTAAGGTAATGATTATTTTTCGCCTTCCTAAGTACAACAGAAAAGTTGTCCAAATATGAATGATTAACCTATTAAACTGGGGATAAAAAAAACTAATATGAAAAGTTGTTATTCTAAAAATCTTCATCTACTTGCATATTAAAGTTATACCAGCAAGAATTAGTCTTTATGTAGAAAACTAGGATTTAAATCAAGCCTTACTGACTAGTGATTTAAATCGTGATTTAAATCAGTTTGATTTAAATCAAATCCACCCTGATACTTCAGTTATGAATGAATACATTCAGTGATCAGTACCAATCACTCATTGTGCTCATTCAGGTAAAGAATGGAATGGTAAATGTGAGATATTTACCAGACCCTTCCCCCATTCTCCATCCTGAAGGATCCTATTGTGTGCTTGCAGCTGCCAGTGGGAAGAAGAGCAAGAACGTCAGCAGTACTGTGAAGGTGGGGGAACAGAGGTGGGGCCTGGGCAGCAGAGGGAAACGTACGGTGCACAGGGAGGGTGATGGGTGTGGAGGGAAAACACTGAAACCAATCCCCTTATGGCTCTTTCTGCAGCAGCTGAAAGCCAGCAGGCTTGCTGGCTTTCAGCTGATGCAGACAAAGCCATACAGGGGATTGGTTCTTCCAGTAACTGACCCCCTGCCATGCTGATCAACCTCCCTTCCCACATCTGATTCACCCAGCTGCCTGGGCCCCATACTGGAGGACTGGTGGTACCCCTTATCCACGGCCCTGCACACTAGGCTACATTCACACTGGCAATTAGGGCCAAAGTGGCTAGCACAGTGGATAAGTGTTTAGAACTTCCACCTGGCAGCACTAGGGTCATTTGTTTCGAATCCCAACCATGGCACTACCTGCTCAGAATTTGCATGTTCTTCCTGTGGCCTGTGTGGGTTTCCTCCGGGTACTCTGGTTTCCTCCCACGCTTCAAAAGACATGCTGGTAGGTGAATTGGCTACTGTCTAAATTGGCCTTAGCATGAGTTAGGGACCTTCGATTATATGCTCCGTGAGGACAAGGAATGATGTGAATGTACAATATATATGTAAAAAGCTGCGTAAATGGACAGCGCTATAGAAGTAACTGTAATAAATAAAGGAACCACAAAATAGTTTTCCTCCTCTTCCTAAACAATGCATCTTACTGATCTACAAAACAGAAAAGCCAAACCCAAAATAGTTTATTATGTGAGAATACAGAATTGCTCCCAACCTCCTTCCAGAATACTGGCTGCCCTCTCAGCCACTCACTTGTCATCAGGAGACTTTTAATACTAGAACTGTTTTTCCTTCCCCTGGGTGCCGAATACATTACTGATGGCAGAGCTGAAAACTCTGATTTCAGAAACACTGCTGAGAATGACACAAAGCTGTATCTGTAAAATTCACTGTAACATAAAATATTTAATATCGATTACTAATGGTAACCATGATTCGCATATACATGGTTTAAATCAAAAGAGTTGAAATAAATCAATTCCATTAAGCACTGCACTGCCACCAATGTCAGTCATACATTAGTGGCAGCGCGAGGGGAGGGGTTACACACATTTCCAGCTGCTACAGTGTGAAAGTCTGTCGGCTTTCATATGGAAGAGAACCCAGAGGTGCACTGAGCATGGTTGCTGATGTGAATGAGCCCTAACAGTGAAGGATTGTTCTTACAAATGCTCATTTCTAGATTGTAAGCTCCCAGGATCAGGGCCCTCCTATCCCTCTTGTATTGAACTGTATTGTTGCTGTATTGTCTCCCGTTATATTGTAAAGCGCTGAGCAAACTGTTGGCACTATATAAATCCTGTATAATAATAATAATAATTTCTGATTGGTTCTCTTTTAAAGACAAACAATCCATATCCTGTACCTTCTGTGTCCTCCTTTATGAACATATGCAGGTTGAGTTGCTGGGGAGTCTCGATTAGAGCTTTGGCGGCAGGCTCCAGTCCAAGCTGTCTGGCTCTCTGTGCTTTGGTTCCTTTGCTTCCAGTTTTGAATGGTGCATACTGTGCAAGACACAAGAGAGTCAGTTCTCTATAACATTTATCCATACACAACAAAACATTTATCATTTTAACATTTTAACCCCCTTCCCACATGCTGTGGCCCTTTACCCCTGGTTCACATTTTGCACGGGCACGAGAGCCCATTAATTTGAATGGACTCCCGTGCCCGTGACACGCAGGGAAGAAGTCCTAGGTTCCCAGTACGGTTGTGTTTTCCAGTGCGGGCGGCGTGCCATTAGAGCTAATGGCACCCGCCCGCGGGTCCGCATTTCTCTGTGCGGGTGGTGCGGCTGCACGAATTTTTGTGTGGATCCACAGCGGCACCACCCGCACATATGTGAACCTATGGTTAACTGGGTCATAAGGCAGAGGGAAGGGGAACTGGACGGACATCTCAACCATGTGAACACTGTAATTGGCTGTTACCAGTAACATAATTGGGGGCTTGTCCTGCTGTCTCTCAATCACAAAAGACTTTTGGTGACTGCTTTACTGTACTGAGTCCACAGTGAGCAATCGCTAAGCACAGAAACCTCAGCCACCATGGATGCATATGCAAGGCATGTGGCCATTAAAGTGGTTGTAAACTCCTATATATACCCAATGAAGTGACTGGTCTCTGGTGATACACAGAGATGAAACAAATCCTCCTACATAATAATTTGTACCTGCTTACCTGCAGTATTCTCTTCTTTACATCCATTCAAAGTTCAGAATTTATATTGTGGATTCTGTAAGTACTGTGCCATTTTCTCTATCATATTGACAATAAAAGTTGATTGGATTTTTAAAAAAAAAAAAAAAGTTCAGAATTTATAAAGCTTGTTTAGGATCCCTTCAGACGAAGTCCGGAAGTGACGAAACGCGTTAGTGGAGTGACGTCAAGACGCACGTACGTAGACCGGAAGTGTCGCCGCAGCCATTTTGTCGGTTATCTACACATGGTTTTCTATAGTGTTTGGCTGGAAAGTGCTTAGAACTATGTCTGGAGCTGAATATTTCTCATTTTAATGTAAGTGATGAATAAAAAGTTATTTCTATGCTTTGAATACCAGTCCTGAGACCATTCTTATCTTTCTGAGGACCTTGGAAAAAAATTTCTTTAAAGAGAATATGGAGGAGTACTGATCCATAGTATTGTTTTAGCATTTCAATACTTATAGAGGGTAATAGTATTCAGTACTACTGTGTGCTGGTTGATGGTATACACAGAGTTGTAGTGATCACTGAGTGCTCACAGTGTGATTTATGTGATTATATGCACTATAAAAAGTGATTTGGATTTGAATATTTTATTTTATTTAATATATATATATATATTTTTTTTTTTTTTTCTATTGCACAAATGTTTTTGAAGTGAATTGTGATTTTCACGGGGTGATTATTTTTGTTTATTAAAGGTAATGCACTAGATTTTATATTTTTTTACTTTGAGGTGCGTTTTGGATGGAATAGGAGTCAATCCTTCTATTGGATGAAAAGAGTTGAAAATTTGGGATCTTTTTTGGACACTATTTTGGACTTTCCTTTTGGACATTTTTTTTGATTTGTTGGACTTTATTGTACACTGTATGTTTTAATTAATTTATTTACTTTTTATAATTCACAAAAAGGTTATATATATGTTATTGCACTTTCTAGGGAGGAAGTATTGACTTTTTGAGGGATTATAAAGGAGAAGGGTGTATATTGATTGAGGTCCCAGAAGACAACAGAACCTTCCAGGAAGCACAGCACTTCTCGCACATGAGCAGTGGGTACCCGGCTGTGAAGCAGCAAGCTGTCACAGCCGGGTGCCCACACTAAAAATGCCGGCCTCCTGGAATACAGGATGGCCGGTGAAAGGGGCTGCGGGGGACACAGCTGGACCGAGGGACAGGTAAGTGGCTGTTTTTTAAAAATCAGCATCTACAGTTTTTGTAGCTGCTGACTTTTATTTTTTGACAGCGTGAGTGGAACTCCGCTTTAAGCACCAACCTAAAAATCTTTTGTAGTGAAATATAATCTATTGCATAAAAATACTAACCACGTGCTCAATTTCATCCAAGGTCCTGCAGTTTAGCATCTCATTGTGTAGGCCAGGGTTCAGCTTTCCTTCTTTCCTCAGCTTCTCCATCAGCGAGTGGGCTTTTCTGGCTACAGACCTACACAGGTAATAAAGAAAAGTCTCAAAAGTCAAGTCAAACAATTAGACCAGAATGTAATAAATAATGTGAAGATAACTCATCTCAATCATTTAGAAAAGCTGGTCTGCATAATACCTGATGTAGTAGGGAGCTTTTAGAAGCTGGAAATCACTGTAGTAGGATCCAGTGATCTCCATTTGCTTCTGGGTTCTGCTCTGAATGGCTGCCCTGCTGCATTGTGAGCACAGGAGGTCAGCTGCTACGCATGGCTGCCATGAGGAGCTAGCAGGCTTTAGCATTTTTTGAAGCCTGCTATCAGCTTGCTTAAAGTAACAATCAGCACTCCCATTAGGATCTGTGTTCAACATTTATAAACTGGAGCTGCGCTGTACTTTAAAAGCTTCAAACAAAGCTTGCTGAAAGCTCGGCAGATACTTTGTCAAAGCTTGCAGTTCAGACTGATCTTATACAAGCTGAAGCCCATGTGAAACAGGCCCAGTGGTGCAATGGTGGAAGTTTCAAGATCTATGAAACATTTTAAACTAAAGAAAAAAAAAAAAAAAAAAAAAAAAAAAAAAAAGGATAACTGTAGGAAGCTAGTTGGAAGGGATTTGACATTCTTTTCTCCAATTTATGTAAACAAATTAGGGTCTATGTATAAAAAAAAAGAATTGGACAGATGTCATAAGCATTCGCCAGCCATCAAGAAAGTCTAAGCCAATTTTGGTTAATAAGTTATTTCTTATGATTGTCCGCTTCATCTAGTGGCCATGCACTAATTTTCTTCAATACCTTATTTAGGAAAAAAATGCATTATTATTATACAGTATTTATAAAAGCGCCAATAGTTTGCTCAGCGCTGTACATTACAAAGGGGGACAGAACATGTAACAGAACAATACCAATACAATGCAAAACATGAGGGGATTGAGGGCCCTGCTCTTTCGAGCTTACAATCTAGGAATATAGCCAATAGATGTAGCTGACGATCACAGGAAATCACTGTATTAAGTAAACTACGGAATCTGATGGCTGGGTGAATGCTTGCGAAATTCACCCATCACATTTTTTTATATACAGTTGCAAGAAAAAGTATGTGAACCCCTTGGGATTACGTGGAGTTTTGCATGAATTGGGCATAAAATGTGCTCCGAACGTCAACTAAGTCACAACAATAGAAGAACACAGTCTGCTGAACATAATACTACACAAACATTAGATGTTGTCATGGTTTAATTGCACATAACATGTAAACATTCACAGTGCAGGGAGGAAAAAGTATGTGAGGCCCTAGCTTAATGACTTCTCCCAGAGCTAATTGGAGCCAGGAGTGAGCCAACCTTGACTCCAATCAGTGTGATGATATTGGATGTGTTGCTGACAGCTGTTCTGCCCTTAAAAAACACACACCTGTTTTGGGTTTACTGGTTTCAAGAAGCACTGTCTGATGTGAACCATGCCTCGCAGAAAAGAGCTCTCAGAAGACCTACGATCAAGAATTGTTGACTTGCATGAAGCTGGAAAGGGTTACAAAAGTATCTCCAAAAGCCTTGATGTGCATGTGTCCACGGTAAGACAGACTGTCTACAAATGGAGAAAGTTTAGCACTGTTGCTACTCTCCCTAGGCGTGGTCGTCCTGTAAAAATGACAACATCTAATGTTTGTGTAGTAATTATGTTCAGCAGACTGTGTTCTTCTATTGTTGTGACTTAGATGACGTTCAGAGCACATTTTATGCCCAATTCATGCAAAACTCCACGTAATCCCAAGGGGTTCACATACTTTTTCTTGCAACTGTATGCTAACCTGTGTGCACAGCCAAAAGTTTCTATAAGAGGCACAAGAGCATCAGAACTGGACTACAGAGCAATAGAAGAAGGTTGCCTGGTCTGATGAATTCAAGAATGGTTTGAAGAACACAACAATGAGTTTGAGGTGTTGACTTGGCCTCCAAATTCTCTAGATCTGAATCCAATCTAGCATCTATGGGATGTGCTGCAAAAATAAATCCAATAAATGGAGGTCCCACCTCACACCCTATAGGATTTAAAGGATCTGCTACTCAAAGCTTGCTGCCACATACCACAGCATACCTTCAGAGATAGTGGAGTCCATGCCTCGACGGGTTACGGTGGGTGGTCATAATGTTATGGTTGATCAGTGTAAATATTATATTTATTACAATAAAAATTAAAATGTATTTTAAAATCTTACCGCAATTCCTCCAAGCTTTGCTGTACTTCTCGCAGTGTATCGGCATCGAGATTGTTGATAAGTTCTTTTCTATAACGGGCAATAAATGGAATGGTGTTCTCATCCTGGAACAGCTTAATAATGTTAGCACAAACCCAGGGCTCTACATTGGTGCGCTCTGCCAGAACCTAAAAGGAAATATGAAAATATGTCACCACATAGCTCATTATTAATCTAGAAATCTGGTGGTTCAGAAAAAATATGGGGTCTGTATATTAGCAGTTCAATATCAGCTCAGATTTTTCTTACAACCACCACCTGACATATAAAGCACAGTAAAGTGATTGTAAAACTTTACTTTTTCTTTTTTTATTTTAACCACTTGCCTACCGGGCACTTTTACCCCGTTCCTGCCCAGGCCAATTTTCAGCTTCCAGCACTGTCACACTTTGAATGACAATTGCGCGGTCATGCAACACTGTACCCATATGAGATTTTATCATTTTTTTTTTACACATATAGAGCTTTCTTTTGGTGGTATTTAATCGTCACTGAGTGTTTTATTTTTTGCACTATACACAAAAAAAAAAAAAGTATTAAACTAATAAAAAGTTTTTTTTGTTTGTTTCCATTATAAAATTTTAAAAAAACAGGTAATTTTTCTCCTTCACTGATGTGTGTTGATGAGGCTGCACTGATGAGGTGACAGTGATGGGGTGGCATTGGTGGGCATTGATGAGGAGGCATTAATGATGCTGCAGTGATATGCAGTAATGATGGACACTGATCGGCGGCACTGACTGACAGCACTGATGGGTACTAGTAGATGGCACTGCTGGGCACTGTTCATCAGGGCACTGATCATCAGTGCACTGATGATCGGTGCAGATGTCCTCTGTGTCATTTGCCAGTTATCGCCAGTACTTTCCTGAGGAAAGTGCTGCTGATAACCGGCAACTGTATTTACACTGTGATCTGCTGTCATTGGACACAGCTGATCAAGTCGTAAAAGGCCGCAGTGTCTGTAGGACACAGCCATCGCGGAGAGCACCGGGTGCGCGCGGCTGGGGGGCACACAGAAGGGCACGTTCTGGGAGGACGTCATATTACGCCCTCCCAAAACTGGACAACCACGGTGTAGCCGTCACTTGGCTACAGCGCGATTGGCAAGCGGTTAATAAAATAATAAACGTGTTATACTTACCTGCTCTGTCAAATGTTTTTGCACAGAGCAGCCCTGATCCTCCTCTTCTGGGATGTATCACGTCAGTTTATTGAGCATCAAAATCTAACACAAGTAATATTGTTATCCAGATATTAGACTCAGCTATAGTTATCATCCTAAAGAAATAAAAACTCATTGGGCTTCAAAACAAGATGAGAAAGGGGGCCTATAAAATACATTTTACTAGCCAAACCTCCCACAGTTCTAACTTTTTGTACCACTTGCCCCACCCTATTAGATTGTAAGCTCCTATGAGTAGGGCTCTCTGAACCTTATTGTATTGTAACTGTATTGTCTCTCTTTAGATTGTAAAGCGCTGCGCAAACTGTTGGCGCCATAGAAATCCTGTATAATAATAGTGTATTATTTTCTTGAAAATATACATTTATTAAATAGTTGCAATAATATCATGAAACACAAAAGATTGCATCATTTTATTCTACAGGGCTTTTGCTTTCAGAAAATGTATACCCATTTGGAATTTTAAGTGCTTTGCCACTCTTGCCATAAATGTAGATTTTAACACGTGCGAAAATAAAAAAAAAATAAAAAAAATGCTCCAGAAGGGAAATGTTTAATCCTTACCTCAACAATGTCCCAGTTCATCTCCGTTCCCTCATGGCCTGAGCTGGAGCTCTTATATTTCACCGGCTTCCCTGCAGCGTCTGATGTCTTGAGTTTTTTTGTAGGTGGACCAAATGTGAAGTCATCTGGAGGTTCTTCCTCCTCTGTGGATCTTCTCTCATTCTTCAAATTTAAATTCGTATCCTTGCTGCTGGTAGAGGGGAATTCATCAACGCTAAGACTCTTCCTCTCTGCCTTCACCTTAATTGGCTTTGCTTTAGACGTTTCCGTTGCCATTTTTCTTTTCTTTGGCTTTTCCTTCTTGATGGTCTGCTCAACAGATATTGACTTTCTCTGCAAAGAAAAAAGTAAAGTATGTCCAATGTTTATCTTTTAATTTCAGGAGTGCATGTAGTCCAAGAGAAAACGATACGCTGTAAAAGCAGTGGTCCTCAACCACCGGGCAGTGGTCCAGTGTCGGGCCACAGCCTCCCTCTTTACAGGCCTCCAGTCAGCTGCAGATCCCCCAATCTTCTACAGTGCCTCCCAACTCCCATCCAACAGTTTCTCCTAATCCTCACAGGGCCCTACAGTCCCCCACAGTGCCTCTGCAAAGCCCCCATTCTCCAAGAGAGACCCCATCCCCCACAGTGTCCCCCAGCTCCCTTCAGGAACCCCTTCCTCTACAGGGCCAAAAAGCTTCAAGCAGAGGCCCCCGACTCCCTCCAGAATCCCCTTACCCCCACAGTGCCATTTAACCCCATCCAGAGCCTTTTGGCAAATCAATTTTTTTTCTGTTATTCAATAATTTTATTGTACAAGTATTAGCTTTTTTTTTTTTTTTTTTTACTATTGGGGTATGGGAGCCTTTGGAAGAGAACCAGTGCTGTAAAGAAGGAGAATAATGCTGAGAACAGCTGATTACTTCTAGTCTAAAATGCAAGCTGAAGATCAATCATTCTTATCCTTGCTTCACTACCTGAGGACTCTCTGACATACACAACCATGTGCATATCAGGTGTTCCCACTCTTCATTGACTGCATGCTTGTTCCAGGTCAGTGAGCCACAAAGTAATGAAATAACAATTAGAAAGATAGTTGCAGAGTTTACAGCTTCCAACACAGGTCAACAATGACATCATATTTATATACGGACATAATCATCTTAACCACTTAAGCTCCGGAAGATTTTATCCCCTTCACGAGCAGGCTTGTTTTTGCTATTTAGCACTGCGCTATTTTACCTAGCAATTGCACAGTCATGCCACACTGTACCTAAACAAAATTTATAGATTTTTTTTTCACACAAATAAGCTTTCATTTTATTTGATCACCCATGAGTTTTTTATTTTTTATATAAATAAAAAAAGACAGAACATTTTGGGGGAAAAAAAAAAAAAAAAAAAAAAAAACACACCTTTTTTTTTACTTTCTGCTATAAAACATATCCATATAAAACATAGCCTACAAACGATGGTATATACTGGTAACGATGGTGATCAGTGACTTACAGTGGAACTGTGATACTGCAGTGGGCAATCTGACACTAACTGATGCTGGGTGGGAAAAGACTAAATGACACTGACATCACCAGTGAAACCTATACAGAGATCAGTGCTAATAATATACTCTGTCACTGTACTAAGGACTTGGAAGCGGTTAACATTTAGGGGCAATCAAAGAGTTGTGTCTACTGTGTGCTGTTTTCACTGAGCAATGTGGTGTTTTTTACTCACTGCTTTGCAGGGGAAAAATAAAAAGTAACCCATTTGATCACCCATGAGTTTTTTATTTTTTATATAAATAAAAGAAGACAGAACATTTTGGGAAAAAAAAAAAAAAAAACACACCATTTTTTTTTACTATCTGCTATAAAACATATCCATATAAAACATAGCCTACAAACGATGGTATATACTGGTAACGATGGTGATCAGTGACTTACAGTGGAACTGTGATACTGCAGTGGGCAATCTGACACTAACTGATGCTGGGTGGGAAAAGACTAAATGACACTGACATCACCAATGAAACCTATACAGAGATCAGTGCTAATAATATACTCTGTCACTGTACTAACGACTTGGAAGCGGTTAACATTTAGGGGCAATCAAAGCGTTGTGTCTACTATGTGCTGTTTTCACTGAGCAATGTGGTGTTTTTTACTCACTGCTTTGCAGGGGAAAAAAAAAAGTAACACAACGCCTCTGCCTGTAGGGAGCCCTGTGTTGTTTACCAACACAGGGCTCTCTTCTGTCATTTGTTTCTGTGGTCAGCAGGTTCCACACTAAATCACTGGCCTGGAGTGAATGGAAGCACATCCGGTGAACAGCAGGAACCTGGAAGAGTGGGAACCTGGTACAGCGGAAACCTGAAACAGCAGAAACCTGAAACAGCGGGGCTGCTCTGCTACTGTATATCTGTGATAGGCAGTCACCAACTGGTTAAAGGATATCTAAATCCCAGAAGAAAACAATATATGACAGTTTAGCATGTCCTTAGATGTGGGGACTGCATTAGTTTTCCTTTTAGGCTAGAAACATTTTCAGCAAATACAGAAAATACCTGTTGGGCTTGCAGGAAATGTAGTGCCCCTGTGAATAATAAAATAGATAACATTGTTTGTACTTTCAGTTCAGCTCTTTGGAAAAAGGATAAGTTCACCTTTTGACAAAATATAATAAATGCACATTTTTTTGCAGGTAAAAAAAAGTGCATTTATTTATTTTTTGTTGCAGGAGCCTGTAAAGCATTGCACCAGCGATCAGCAGATCGCTGGTGCCATGCAGCCCTCCTGCAGACCTGTCAATATATCTGCTTGCCTGTACGAGATGTACGGGCAAGCGGATGTACTGAAAGGAAGAATCAATGAATTACCACGGCACTCCACAGCTCCATGATAATTCATTGAGAACTACAAGCAGACAGCCGTAAAGGCTGTAGGGTCTTGTAGTGCATTCATTCACAAAACTCCGCGAATGAATGACCCTAAAAATGGTTGGAACATGTAACATGTTCCCAAAGGTGAACTTATCCTTTAACTACTTATCTCATCAGCCGTCATGAAATGGAGATTAAAAAAAGCCAAATTTGTTTGAAGTTTAGCCTGAATGGCAACCATGGCACCTTCCATACATACGGGGAGGAGTGAGAATAGCCTACCTGGGATGAGAAGTGTGTAATTCGCAGGATCACCAGGTGAAACCAAAGGGAAAACGTTTGAAAAAAGAAAAAAAAAACGAATACTGCCATCTCATCTAAGGCCTGGTAAGCTGCAGTATATTTAGTTTTTTGGGGTTAGATTACCTTAAAGGCTATATTTTCTACACTGCTGCAGTAAAGCCGGTTGCAGCTAAGGCAGCAGAATTGGGACAAGAGCAAATAATCAAAAAGCCACCGGCCAAAAACTCTTTAAAAAAACATTAATTGGGCAAGTTCGTAGAATTGCCCTGATCACGGACTTTACCTCTCCATCCCCTGCTACCTGTGGTGTAGGGGTCAGAACACAGCCATGGGGGCAATGTCATATATGTAATTGTTTCAGGAACATGTATGTGTAAAGCTGCTATAAAGTAAGGTGAATATTTGCAAGAATTGACCATATTATTCTTGCCATCAGATAATAATTGTTATACATAAAAACACAAGCAGGTAGTATTTTGCATAGAAGACATAAAGTACAATGTGTAAAGGGTGCTGTCTATAGTCAAATGGAAAGTTTGCATGTGTATCCAATAAGAAAAATGTACAGAAAGAAATCATTTTAAAAAATAGCCAGTCAGCTTACAGTGGAAGGTTGGCAAAGAAAAACAAAAAAAGCCAAAAAGTCAAATGACTGCTGACACTTGAAATTGCTCACTAGGGCAAAAGTGCACACGTACAGGAGAATGATCACTGAGGGGTTAACAATAAATTCTGAAGGCTGGTAGAAGCTAAATCACATACTAAAGTGGTGTATATTTGTATATCATAGCTGTGTACCTGCTGTGTGATGATATCGAAGGCACTGCTGCATCTGAGTATTAGTCTCACCAGATTTGGGGCTATCACTACTGCGCTGATGAAAGTTGTACCTGGAGACCTGCCGTGTAAGGATCCCCCTTCTTATAAAAGTGGTGGATCTGTGCTATCTGCACCTCTCCTGGTGACATGAATACTGGGTCATGAGCTGTGCATTTTGGTGTTAATCTAACTGATGGCATGGATACTGGGGAGTGAACTGTGTCTGTTGTAAATCTAACAGATGGTATGGATACTTGTGAGTGAGCGTTGTATATTGTAGATGTAACATTATGGTATGGATACTGGGGACTGAGTATTGCCTATTGTAGATCTAGCTTATGGCTTGGATACTGGGGAGTGAGCCGTGTCTATTGTAGATCTAGCTGATGGTATGGATACTGGGGAGTGAGCCGTGTCTATTGTAGATCTAGCTGATGGTATGGATACTGGGGAGTGAGATGTGTCTATTGTAGATCTAACTGATGATATGGATACTGGGGACTGAGCTGTGCCTAGTGTAGATGTAACTGAAGGCATGGATACTGGGGAATGAGTGTGTCTATTGTAGATCTAACTGATGGTTTGGATACTGGGGAGTGAGCTGTGAATATTGTAGATCTAACTGATGGTATGGATACTGGGGAGTGAGCTATGTCTATTGCAGATGTAAATGATGGCATGGATACTGGGGACTGAGCTATGTCTATTGTAGATCTAGCTTATGGTATGGATACTGGGGAGTGAGCTGTGTCAGTTGTAGATCTAACTGAAGGCATGGATACTGGGGAGTGAGCTGTGTCTATTGCAGATGTAAATGATGGCATGGATACTGGGGTGAGCTGTGTCTATTGCAGATGTAAATGATGGCATGGATACTGGGGAGTGAACTGTGTCTATTGTAGATCTAGCTAATGGTTTGGATACTTGTGAGTGAGCGTTGTCTATTGCAGATGTAACTGATGGTATGGATACTGGGAACTGAGCGTTGTCTATTGCAGATGTAACTGATGATATGGACACTGGGGAGTGAGCTGTGTCTATTGTAGATCTATTTGATGACATGGAGGGGAGTGAGCTGTATCTATTGAGGTATAGATCTAACAGGTGACATGGAGATTGACCTATGTATTGGGGTATTACTCTCACTAGTGGATACTAAAAATGTAAGTGTATTTGGGTGGAGATTTCACTATTCCATCCTAAAAAAAAGGGGGTAGAGTTCCGCTTAAACTCAACTGTCATGGAGCCCAATCAGGGATTCACATGCTGTTAAAAGCCCCTTTACTGCAATATGCACAGAATTCTTACCTCTTGTTTAACTGTTATCTCCTGAAAAGTTGATGCATCGCTGTCTTTATTCTCAGATGTTATTCCACTTTCTTCTGTAACAGGGATGGATGTTTTGCTGGTTCGTTTGGCAGCAGGCTAATTTGTTACATGCAAAGAACGGTAAAGGTAAAACATTAGATGAAGTCTTCAGTTGTTTATGAAACAAACCACTATGATAGATTACCCCACACCATGATAGATTACCCCACACCATGATAGATTACCCCACACTATGATAGATTACCCCACACCATGATAGATTACCCCACACCATGATCGATTACCCCACACCATGATAGATTACCCCACACCATGATAGATTACCCCACACCATGATAGATTACCCCACACTATGATAGATTACCCCACACCATGATAGATTACCCCACACCATGATAGATTACCCCACCCATGATAGATTATCCCAATATTCAAGCAGACCCAGTGTCAGATATATTTTTTAATGGTAAATGCATGCATGCCGAAGTGTTACACTTATTGGCAATTATGACTTCTCGCAGTCAGTACAGTAACCCCTGACATCTGCTGTAGGCCACTTGCACATGGGGCAATTAACTGCTGTACCTCCAATCTCAGCATTTTAATGCCCCAAAAGCGCAATTCAAGCAACCAGTCCCAGTCAAAGTTTTTGACAGGCTGAAATATGCTGAGGCTGGACGGGGATGAATGCCGTACCGAGTGATATTTGCGTATAGCAATGTATGTGCTCAGGGATGAATGCCCAAAATGCAGAGAAGAATACTGGTGTTCCAGGCATTTACCCCTAAGTGTAAAGTGCCCTAAATTTCAGTACGACTCAAAACAGTGTTCAGTCCAATCAAGCCGCAATACACTTCAGCAGAACTCTTGGGATGGACCAGATTGATTCGCTTTGATGTTGCTGACCAATCAGAATTGATCTGACCCATCCTGGAAGCACTGCATGGAGAAGAGGGAGGAGATTGCTGGACTGGCTGCAGGGGTGCCAACAGCTCAGCAATCCTAGAAGCACAGTAAGGACCATGGGGGAGGAATGGGAGGGGAGGGTGTACAGTGTTAGTTTACCTATACCGAATAAAAGAGGAACTAACATTTTAAACTTTCTCTGCCTATAAAATGTTGGGTTACATGGCTTTAAGACACACAGCAGGCTCCCCTGACTGCCAACCCTCCCTTTATACCTATATCCTATGCCAGATAAAATAGGTTACCTCCTCACTATATATACATAGTGGTTATAGAAAAGAATGAACCCCCTCCCCCTTTAAAATAATCAAATTTTCTTACTTGTCAGCCTGAAATGAAGACAGACACAGTTTTTGTTTTATCCAGCTGTATTTACTCAGTGCAACTTATAACATCCAAGTGAAATATAAAACACCAACATGTCAGAACAAAACAAAAACAAATTAAAAAAACAGAATCACTAAGTTGAAAAAAAGGATCACCCGCTTGTGTCAGCACTTTGTTGAACCAGCTTTTGCTTTAATTCCAGCCTTTAGTCTGTTGGGATATGTCTCTGCGAACTTTGCACATCTAGACTTTGCAATATACGCCCGCTCTTATTTGCAGAACTGATCAAGTTCAGTTAAACTTGATGGTGACCGTTGGTGGACTGTAGTCTTCAAGTCATTTCACAGATTTTCAATGGGGTTTAAGTCTGAGCTCTGACTAGGCCATGCAAGGACATTCACCTTTTTCTCCTCCAACCACTGTGTGCTCATTTTTGCTGTGTGCTTTGGGTCTTTGTCATATTGGAAGGTAAACCTTCCCATTGACAAATAAAACAAACAAAAATTCGAAAACAGAATCACCGATTTGTAAAAAGGATAACCCTTCCTGACTTGTAAACTCAATCAGGAGTAGCTAACCACCTTCTCAGTGGTACACAAAGCCATTTGAATTTCAACTGTGATCAGCTGTGGCCATTCTGATTAGCTCAGCATGAAAAGGGCTTTCCTAGAGCATTTCAGTCCCTAGTAGTGCAACTGAAGCAAACAATCAACTACGGGTGGCAAGGCACTGTCAAAAGATCTCTAGGATAAAGTTGTGGACAGGCATTGAAAATCTGTGGAATGCCTTGAAGACTGCAGGCCACCATCAAATTTAACTGGACTTGATCAGTTCTTTAAAGAAGAGTGGGCACATATTGCAAAGTCTAGATGTGCAAAGTTAGCAGAGACATATCCCAACAGACTAAAGGCTGGAGTTAAAGCAAAAGATGGTTCAGCAAAGTACTGACACAAGGGGGTGATCCTTTTTTTCCAACTCAGTAATTCTGTTTTTGATTTTTTTTTTTTTTCTGCAATGTTGGTGTTATATTTTTCACTTGGATGTTTTAAGTTGCACTGAATAAATACAGCTGGATAAAACAAAACCTATGCCAGTCAATGCAGTTAAATCATTTATTAAGAAGTGGAAAATTCAGGGATCTCTATATACCAAGCCAAATACAGGTAGACCAAGAAAGATTGCAACCACGATTGCCACTAGAATTGTTTGGGATACAAAAAAAAAAAACCACAGTCAACCTCAGGAGAAATACAGGCTGCTCTGGGAAAAGACGGTGTGGTTGTTTTGAAGGAGCAGAATATGATGATACTTGAACAAAAATTAGCTGCATGGTCGAGTTGCCAGAAAGAAGCCTTTACTGAGCCAATGCCACAAAAAATAAAAGTGAATATTAATTGTATGCTGCCACTTATTTCAATGATACACGTGTATAAACGTGCCAGAGCTTGCTGCAAACAATAAGTAATGTGTGTTCTCACAATGCCACAAAAAAGCCCAGTAACGAATGTCAAGTTGTTGTGGGGAATATTGTAACTGGGCTTTTTTATGGCACTTGTTTGTGCAGCTCATTTTTGTGCAGGTATCGTTGCATTGTGCTCCTTCAAAACAACCACACTGTATTTTCCAGAGCACCCTGTATTTCTCCTGAAGTTACCTGTGGGTTCTTCTTTGCATCTCGAACAATTCTTCTGACAATTGTGGCTTAAATCTTTCTTGATCTACCTGCCCTTGGCTTCTTAATAAGCGATTCAACAGTACTGACTGTCATATTCAGAAAAAGATATATCTTTATATCCTTTTCCATCTTTATAAAAGTTCCATTACCTTGTTAAGCAGCTCTTTTGACAGTTCTTTTCTGCTCCCCAAACTCACTATTTATACACAGAAACCAATTGCAATTTAAAAAGCCACAGATGTGGTAAATTAACCTTTAATTGCCATTTTAACCCGTGTGTGTCACCTTGTGTGTGTCGTACCAAGGCCAAACATTCCAGAGGAGGAAAACTTTTGATCATGGCCACTTGGGTGATTTCTGTTATCATGATTTAAAAAGGAGCCAAACAACTATGTGATAATAAATGGCTTCAAATTATCATTATCCTTAAATAACAGTTTTTTGGCATGATCTGTCATATTTTCAATATAAATGCCAACATTTCATGATTTCTGGCTGGGTATGCAAAGTTTTGAGCACAGCTGTGTGTGTGTATACATTATATATATATATATATATATATATATATATATATATAAAAAATACTCTTCGCAATCCTACATACATTTTAAAATTTTCTTTTTCTCATTTAGACAATATATCACCTCATCATTAATTTTGTAATCTCATTCATGTTATTTTTATTATAACATTACATTATAAATATTTTTTTATTTTACTATTCATATATTTGTTTTTACATGTTACTGTTTGTTGCGAGGGCTTCTTGTATATTTTCTTTTCCATTGTAATACTTCATATCTCTTAAAAGAATACAAAAAAATAATAATATGAAGAGTGTAGGAGTTATTAACGTGTATCAGTGGAATAACAACCATTAAATCAGCTCCACTGTGTCCACATTGAGAACTGCTACAAGCTCCATTCTATAGACTCCTCTACATTCCACATACATAGCTGTGTCTACAGATCACCATATTACACAATTATGTCACCAACATCGCTCACCTTCCGTGGTTTGGGAGCAGCCGCAGTCTTTGCTTTTGCTGCAGGTTTCTTAGTGGGCTCTTTAGGTTTCCTTGCTTGTCTTTTGGCTGGAGGGGCCTTTGCCTCCGGCATCCATTCTTCCTCATCCTCTTGAGAGTCGTCTTCTGTTTCTGACCTGATTACAGCAGCATCAAGTAAAAGCTAAATATTTGATGGTTGGACTAATGGTTTATCTGTAGCCAAAACTTTTTTTTCTTAAGTTTTGAATAGAGTGAGAAAGGGTTAAAACTGTTGTGTTAAAGTGTTACTAAACATCGGACCCTGCAGTCACTATATCCGGTCTCCCCGGACCCTGCAGTCACTATATCCGGTCTCCCCGGACCCTGCAGTCACTATATCCGGTCTCCCCGGACCCTGCAGTCACTATATCTTGTCTCCCCGGACCCTGCAGTCACTATATCGGTCTCCCCGGACCCTGCAGTCACTATATCCGGTCTCCCCGGACCCTGCAGTCACTATATCCGGTCTCCCCGGACCCTGCAGTCACTATATCCGGTCTCCCCCGGACCCTGCAGTCACTATATCCGGTCTCCCCGGACCCTGCAGTCACTATATCCGGTCTCCCCGGACCCTGCAGTCACTATATCCGGTCTCCCCGGACCCTGCAGTCACTATATCCGGTCTCCCTGGACCCTGCAGTCACTATATCCCGGTCTCCCCGGACCCTGCAGTCACTATATCCGGTCTCCCCGGACCCTGCAGTCACTATATCCGGTCTCCCCGGACCCTGCAGTCACTATATCCGGTCTCCCTGGACCCTGCAGTCACTATATCCGGTCTCCCCAGACCCTGCATTCACTATATCTGGTCTCCCCGGACCCTGCAGTCACTATATCTGGTCTCCCCGGACCCTGCATTCACTATATCTGGTCTCCCCGGACCCTGCATTCACTATATCTGGTCTCCCCGGACCCTGTATTCACTATATCTGGTCTCCCCCGGACCCTGCATTCACTATATCTGGTCCCCCCAGACCCTGCAGTCACTATATCTGGTCTCCCCGGACCCTGCATTCACTATATCTGGTCTCCCCGGACCCTGCAGTCACTATATCTGGTCTCCCCAGACCCTGCAGTCACTATATCTGGTCTCCCCGGACCCTGCAGTCACTATATCTGGTCCTATACTATATATATATATTACACACACACATATACACACACATACATACACACTGTGCTAGGCAGCACAGCGGCTAAATGGTTAGCACTTCCACCTGGTAGTACTAGGGTCATTGGCTCAGATCCCACCTGCCTGGAGTTTGCATGTTCTCCCTGTGCTTGCGTGGGTTTCCTCTAGGTACTCCGGTTTTTCCTTCCAGACTTCAAAGACATGCTGGTAGGTTAACTGGCTGCTGTCTAAATTGTCCCTAGTATGTGTATGTATGAATGTGAGTTAGGGACCTTAGATTATGCGCCCCTTAAGGGGTTAGGGACTGATGTGAATGTACAATATATATGTAAAGCGCTGCGTACATTGATGGCACTATATAAGTACCTATAATAAATAAATTATATATATATATATATATATATATATATATATATATATATACACACATACACACACTCTCTTTCAATAAGTTATTTTATGTTACTGGAGATATATAAATATGTGAAACAATATTTAAAGAAAAAAAAAAAAGAAAAACCTTTCCATTTCGGTTTTTGGCTAAGTGTTTCCTGAATATTCGTTTCAGTTCACCACTACTTTAAAGACAAGCATTTCCTTTCTATCAGCTACCGAAAATCCACTGTACATACACAAGTAGTAAATACTTACATCCCGCTCAAGAACGACATTCCAGCTTGGGGGCGGCTATGGGCCTTCGCGCTCTTTTAGGTAACTCAGACATCTACAATTCACACAGAGGAGAGAACAGTCTATAAGAATACTATAATACTATAATACAATATAGGCCTACTATAAGTATAAAGGATAACAGAAAACTCATAGCACTTCTTGTATGATAGGGCTACTATACTATGCAGAAAAGATACAAGAGTAGGGGGAGATTTACTAACAATGGAGCACTCAGAATCTGGTGCAGCTTCACAAAAAAAGATGGAAATTGATTGGTTTCTATGCAGAGCTGCACCAGATTTTGCACTCTCCAGGTTTAGTAAATAACCTCCAAGGAATGTACACAGGGCACATGCAACATGCTGCATAGATAATAATCAGATCAGCCAGGAATGCCGAGACCGCTCACACAATGCTTACTGCATAGATGGGTATAATCATTCCATTCACCAATCAGCCATATCATTATGACCACCCACCTGATATTGAGTAGTTCCCCCTTTTAGTGCCAAACAGCCCTGACCCATTGACACATTGACTCCACTAGACCTCTGAAGGTACGCTGTGGTATCTGGCACCAAGCCGTCAACAGCAGATCCTTTAAAGCAGGGGTGTCAAACTGGCAGTCCTCCAGCTGTTGCCAAACTACAAGTCCCATGAGGCATTGCAACACTGACAGTTACAAGCATGACTCCCAAGGGCAGAGGCATGATGTGACTTGTATTTTTGCAACAGCTGGAGAGCCGCCAGTTTGACACCCCTGATTTAAAGGATAAGTTCATCCTTTGCAGGTTAAAGCAAATGTGAATTTATTATTGTTTGTTTCTGGAGCCTGTAAAGCATTGCACCAGCGATCAGCACTTCACAGGTGCCATGCAGGGCTCCCTCTGACCTGTCAGTGTATCTGTGTGGCTGTACATCCCGTCTGAGCAAGGAAGGCTCAATGAACTATCATGGTGCTGTGGAGCGCTATGGTAGTTCACTGAAAACTGGAAGCTTTTGCGTCTGGCGGAACTAGTAGTTTTCCCATTCACAGAATACAGTAAATGAGTGAGACGGCGGGGTGGTCGGAGCCCCACACGGATGTGTTTTTTTAAAAATTGTGACAGCTAACGGGAGAAGATCCCCCACTAGCTGTCACAACGGGGATCGGGGGAGAAGGGGGCCGGTTTATTCGTAACATGTTACACCCTGAACATGTTACAAAAGGTGAACTTATCCTTTAAGTCCTGTAAGTTGTGAGGTGAAGTCTCCATGGATCAGACTTGTTTTTCCAGTTTATCCCAGAGACACTCAATTGGATTGAGATCTGCAGAATTTGGAGGCTAAGTCAACACTTCAAATGTGTCATCGTGTTTCAGACCATTTTTGCAGTGTGGCAGAGCACATTTTTTTCTGCTAAAACAGATCACTATCAGGAAATCCCATTTCCATGAAGGGGTACACTTGGTTACCCATAATGTTTAGGTAACTGGTATGTCTCAAAGTAACATCCCTATGAATGGCAGGACCCAATGTTTCCCAGCAGAACATTGCCCAAATCATCACACCACCTCGGCCCCCTTGCCTTCTTCCCATGCTGCATTCTGTTGCCATCTTTTCCCCAGGTAGGTGATGCATACACACCCGGCCATCCACATGATGCAAAAGAAAACCTGATTCATCAGATCAGACCCCCTCCTTCCATAGCTCTGTGGTCCAGTTCTGATGCTCACATGCCCATTGTAGGTGCTTCTGGCTGTGGACACGGGGCAGCATGGGCATCCTGACCGGTCTGTGGCTATACAGCCCCATACAGAACAAATTGTGATACCCATTTTTTCTGCTTTCAACACATCAACTTCAGTGACAACATGTTTACCTGCAGCCTAATATGTACCATTGACTTTCAGATGCCATTGTAACAAGATAATCAATGGTATTCATTTTACCTGTCAGTGGTCATAAAGTTATGGCTGGCCGGTGTATATGGTGGCCACGAGTACATCATACACAACAACATAACTCCAGGAAAACAGTATACATGTATAACCCGGGTCACGAACGCCTCGTTTTTTTGTAATTTTCGGTTCACGAATGAAAATCCATTGAAAAATAATGCCTTGGTTTACAAATGTTTTTCGTAATACGAACAGATTAATTGGTTTTCAATGCATTTACAAATTTTTTTTTTTTTTAATCATGTCCCTGTACAGTATTTATACCTTTAAAGTGCACTTTATAAAGAGTTTTGTACAGATAAAACTTTTTTTTACTTTTTTCTGACCTCCGGAATGAATTAATTGGTTTTCAATGCATTTACAATTTTATTTTGCAATACAAACGGAATAATTGGTTTTCAATGCATTTACAAATTAATTTTTAATCATGTCCCTGTACAGTATTTATGCCTTTAAAGTGCATTTTATAAAGAGTTTTGAACAAGTAAAATACTTTTTTTTTTTTTTTTACTTCTTTCTGACCTCTGGAACGGATTAATTGGTTTTCAAGGCATTCCTATGGGAAACCGCGTTTTCGGTTTACGAATTTTTCGCAAAACGAAAAGTCCCGCAGAACGGATAAAATTTGCAAAGTCCCGCAGAATGCATATAAAGAGTTTTGAACAGATAAAAGACTTTTTTTTTTTACTTTTTTCTGACCTCCGGAATGGATTAATTGGTTTCAATGCATTCCTATGGGAAACTGCATTTCGTTTACATATTTTTTGCAATCCGAAAAGTCCTGCAGAACACATTAAATTTGTAAACCGAGGTACGCCTGTATATGTTTACCTGTAATTCATCCTGTAGGGCTCATTTGTTGATGAATCCTAGGTTCACACTAATGCAGTGCAGGAAAGGCTGGGAACCAGGTACGTTCCCCACACCGCATTCCAATCGCACTGCCCTTGTGATCTGCTGCGGGTGTCAATACAAAGTTAAAAATACCCCAGTGTGTTTGCCTGCAGCGGATCGCACAGTATAAAACAACCATGCCACCTAAAAAAAGGTGCATGCACGTCTTTGGGCAATTTGAGCCCATTCAAAATCAGTGGGCTCAAATCACACTGAACTTAATCGAATGCGAATTTCACAGGAATGAAGTGCGGTTCGTGTGCGATTCATGTAAAGTTCGCTAACCGCGGTTCGATGTGTGAACACCCATGTGTTCCAATTCTGGTGCAGACAAAAAAAGGGTCCTGCACTTTGTGGTGCGGATGCGGTGCAATTTGAGCCATGCAAAATGTACGGATCAAACTGCACCGCATGCGATTTGGACAGGAATGAGGTGCAGCTCCTGTGCGAATCACATGCGGTGTGCCGTACCGCATCAGTGTGAACCCGGGCTTAGGTGGTATTTAACCACTTGCCGCCCAGCCACTGTACATATACGGCGGCAGGGCGGCACTCGCAGGCAAAACCACGTTTTAAAACGTGTGTTTTGTAAACTAATAGGGGGTGCGCGCGAGGCACGCCGCCGCCCTATCTGTCCCGCCAATCACCACCGCAGATGTGAGTCGCCGGGTCACAGCCGGTCCTTAGCGGCTGTTTCCCGGCGATCGGCGGCAAACAGTGACAGACAGCACAGCTGCAGTAGCTGTGCTGTCTGTCACTTCCCTGCCAGCTCGAGGATGAGCTGATCGAGAAAGAACAGTTTCTCTTTCTCGATCAGCCTTGTCCTGCCCAGTACACACCCCCGCCCCCTACTAAAACACTCCCCTCACTCCTATAACCCTTCCCTGCAAAATAAAGTTAACCCCTTCCTCCCCATTGCCATTAGTACAGTGTCAGTGTTTTTTTTTTTTTTGCACTGATCACTGTATTAGTGTTTTTGGGGATGTCAGTGACCCCAAGTCAGTACCCCCCAATGTCAGAATGTCCGTCGCAGTCCCGCCATAAGTCGCTGGTCGCTGCCATAAGTCCCTGATCGCCGCCATAATTCGCTGATCGCCGCCATTATTAGTATAAAAAAAAAAAAACCTAAAAATCCCAGTATCTTTCCCTCCATTTGTAAACGCTATAACTTTCACGTAAACCAATTAATTTACACGTATTCGGTTTTTTTTTTTTAGCAAAGACATGTCGCAGAATGCATTTTGGCAGAAATTTATGACTAAATTTGATTTTTGCATATTTTTTTTACTGGACATGTTTTATAGCAAAAAGTCCAAAATATTGTTTTTTTTTCCTCAAAATTGTCAGCCTTTTTTTTTTATAGCGCAAAAAATAAAAAACCACACAGGCGATCAAATACCACCAAAGAAAGCTCAATTTGTGGGGGAAAAAAAGGATGTAAATTTCATTTATGTACCATATTGCATGACCGCGCAATTGTCCGTGAAACTAGCGCAGCGCTGTATAGCAGAAAAATGGCGTAAATTGCAGTATTTATACCATAGTTTGTAGACGCTATAACTTCCACAAAAAGCAATCAATATACACTTATTGGGATTTTTTTTACCAAAAACATGGAGCAGAATACATTTTGGCCTAAATTTATAACCAACTTTGAGTTTACTATATATTTTTTATAGCTGAAAGTAAAAAATATTGTTTTTCTTCAAACTGTTTGGCCTTTTTTTGTTTTATAGCGTGAAAAATAAAAAGCGCACAGGTGATCAAATTACACCGAAAGAAAGCTCTATTTGTGTGAAAAAAAGGACGTACATTTTGTTTGGGTGCAGCATTGCATGACCGCGCAATTATCAGTTGAATTAGTGCAGCGCCGAGTAGCAAAAAGAGGCGTGGTCATTAAGGGGGGTAAATCCTCTGGAGCTCAAGTGGTTAACTAGCACTAGGTTTTTCATTGTTTGCTACAGAAATGAAAAAGTACAAAAATATTTTTGAAAAAAGAATTCTTAGTTTCTGTTATAGTTTTGCAAATAATGTTTCTTTATACATTTGGAACAAATTGTATTCTGCTACATTCTTTGGTAAAAACAACCAAATCAGTGTAAGATGTTTACTATGTGACAGCTAGAGAGTCTGCAAGCCATGGTACTGTATATATAGCCCTGAAAAGCCATCAATCCTGATGTACCGACGGCCCATCTCATTTCTGGAGGCCCTAAAC